AGGAATAGTCTATGGTAAGGCAGGCAAAAGGCAGCAAGCAGTGAAGCCTGCCTTCAGTTTTTCCTTTTATAGTCCATCCAGGCTACAAACCCAGGGTGGGGCTTCCTTCATCCACACTCAGAACTATGCTAAACTAATTTAATTATCACAGAACCTTAATTTCAGCACCACGCACCCTAATCCAGCATCACCCACCTGTAATTCAGCCACCTCCCAGAAGCCCCACCAATGAGCATATGAATCTTTGTTGGGATATCTAGATAGAGGCCATAACATTGGGGAAATAATATACAGATAAGTGAGGCATATAGAACCCCAAACATCCATGCCCAGGAAAGGACCTCTTCATGACAAATCATAGTCAGAATATAAGAAACATTTAACTGAAAAAGAAATTCGTAAACTATAAAAGCAAAGGATGGAAGACAATAGTCTGTGCAACAAGAACCTGAAAACAAGCAGGAGTAGCTGTTTTATTTTCAGACAAAGCAGATTTAAAGCTAAAACTTATCAGAAAAGGCAAAGAAGGTTCCTACATAGTGGTTAAAAGAACCATTCAACAAGAAGAGATTAAAATTATAAATATATATGCACTGAACACCAGTGTACCCAACTCCATAAAGTAAACACTACCAGATTTAAAAGATGAGATAAAATATTAGCACAGTTGTAGTGGGGGACCTCACTATCACAATGTCACAGACAGATCAACTAGAGAAATAGTCAACAAACAAGGACCAGAATTGATTGGATCCTTTGAATAAATGGTCTTCATAAATATCTACATTGTTTTACCCCCAAATAACAGAACACACGTTTCTCTCACTAGCACTTGGAACTTTCTCCAAAATAGACCACACTTCCCAATAAATCATGCTTAAGCAAATGCAAAAGAATTGAAATTATCCCATGCATATTATAAGATCATGATATAATGTACCTAGAAATCAATGGCAAAAGAAAACACAGAAATTCGGCAAATGAATGGAAATTAAACAATACACCCTTGGATAATCAGTGGGTGATAAAAGAAATCAAGGAAGAAATTGGACAGTTTCTAGAATCAAACAACAGTCTTAGTGCAACATACCCAAGCATATGAGGAAACCATGAAAGCAATCATAAGAGGAAATTTTATAGCTATAAATGCTGATATCAGAAAAACAAAGTGAGTCCAAATAAATAACCTACAGGTGCATCTCCAAGTCCTGGAAAATAAAGAACCATCCAAATCCAGAGGTAGTACAAGGAAAGAAAATATAAAGATCAGAGCAGAAATTAATGACATTGAGTATAAAAATATAAAGAATTAATGAGTCAAAGAGCTGATTATATGAAAGAATAGACAAATCCTTGGCCAATCTTACCAAAAAGAAAAGATTCATATCAATGTAATTACAAATGAAAGGTGAAATCAAAACAGACATCACAAAAATCTAGAACATTATTAGCAACTACTTAAAAAATGTGTACTCCAATAAATAGGAGAATGGATTGATTACTAGGTACATATGAATTACCCAAACTGAATCAAGAATATATAAAAACACCAAATAGTTGAATAAGAGGCAAAAATGGAAGCAATAATAAAAAAACCTACTAAGAAACGCTAGCACACAGTGCATTCACTACTGAATTCTACAAGAACTTTAGGGCCGAACTAATAACAGCACTCTTTAATGAAACTAAGGGAAGGAGAACTGGCATAGTCATCCCAGAAGCTAGAATTATCGTGATTCCACAACCAGACAAGAATCCAACCAAAACAGAGAGCTACAGGTCAATCACTTTAATGAACACAGACTAAAACATCCTCAACAAATTACTGGCAAAGAGAATGCAATAAACTGTAAAAGTGGTTATACCTCATGACCAAGTAGGCTTCATTCCAGGGATGCAAGGATGGTTCAATATCCACAAATCAATCATGTAATACATCACATAAACAGAAGCAAGGGCAAAGATGACATGATCATTTCCACAGATGCAGGAAAAGCCTCTGAAAAAATCCAACATCCATTCATGATAAAAAAAAAAAAACCTTGAAGAAAAAAGGACCTTATCTAAGTTTAATAAAAGCCATTTATGACAAACCTACTGCTGGCCTCATAATAAATGGGCAAAACTTTTCCTCTAAAATCAGGAACAAGGCAAGAATGTCCACTATTACCACTTTTATTCAATAGAATACTTGAAACATTAGCCAGAGCAATCAGGCAAGAGAAAGAAATAAAAGGGATATGTATAGGGAAGGAAGTAGGCAGGTCATCATTATTTTCAGATGATATGATCCTCTACATAGAAAACCAAAAACATTCCCCTAAAAGACCCCTAGAATCAGATTCAGCAATGTAGCAGGATCAGTACTGACAAACAAAATGTGTACCTGTCTGTAATAAAGAACTCACTGAGAAAGAAATTAGGAAAACAATACCAGTCACAATAGCACCAAGAAAAATTAAAATAACTTAAGGAAGTGAATGACCTCTACTATGAAAACTACAGCACTCTGAAAAAGCATATCAGAGAGGACTCTGGAATATGGAAGGCTATCTTTTGTTCCTGGATAGGCAGAAACAATATAGTCAGATGGCCACACCTCTAAATCCGATGTATGGATTTAATGACATCCAAATCAAAACAGCATTCCTAACAGAAGTAGAAAAATCACAACCCCAGATTTCAAGTTATATTACAAAACTACAGTTTTAAAAACAGCATGGTAGTGGCACAAAACTGGACAGAACAATGGAACAGAATAGAGGATTCAGAAATGAACCTAGGCACATTCAGTTACCTGATCTTTGATGAAAGAGGCAAAAAACATACATTGGAGGAAAGACAGCCTCTTTAATAAACTGTGCTGAGAAAGCTGGCTTTCTGCAGGTAGAAGATTAACTCTAGACCTATATATTTCACAATGTAAAAAGCCAAAATCAAAATAGATCAAAGATCTAAATGTTAAAACAGAAACACTTAATTTCCCGGACAATAAAATAGGTAGTAAATGCCCATTGTGGGAAGGAGGTGGCGTGTCCCCAGGCTGACCTCCGACCACCCACCCCTCCTGCCCCTCATTGCTCCTGGCAAGACCGCATGCCTGGGAGCCTGGCTCCCTTCCGCGGCTCTGATGGGCGGGCGGCTGCCCTGAGGAAGCGGGGAGCGGAGGACTGGGCGGGCCAGTGGATGGGCAATCATGCCGAACTTCTGCGCAGCCCCCCAACTGCCCGCGGAAGAGAACACAATCCGACCTGGCCTTCTTCAGGTTTCTGCGGGATCCCACCAGATGCCAGAGCAGGTGGAGAACTGTAGGAGAGCAGACTTAGGAGACAAAACACCAGATCAAATGCATAAACATTATCGGTTGTGTGCCATACACTTCAAGACCTCTGTGATCTGTAGAACCATACATTTTGCAGAGGCATCAGAAAACTAAAGAATGATTGTTATTTTATTTCTCAAAATTAATTGAAGCAGATACTTGTGCAGTCATTAGGAGAGCCCTTATAGGACCTTTCTTGGAGATAATGCAATACCAGCAATATTTGATCTTATCAGTCATTTGAACAATCCACACAGTAGACACAGAAAATGAATAAAATAATTGAGTGAAGATGAAATCAGGACCCTGAAACAGAAAAAAAAGTTAATGAAATTTCTGAACAGGAACAGAAACATAAGGATACAAACAACGGCAATGCTCGGATTCCAGTGGGGAAGTGCAGGGAAGAGCAGGGTGAAGACATCTTGTTTTCCTTGAAGAGAAGGAAAACAAAGAACACTTAAAGTCTCTATTTGAAATTTTGATTCTTATGGGAAAACAAAGCATACCTCTGGATGGGCATGAGACTGAGGAAGTCCTGGAAGGTCTATTTACACCTGATAACTTTCAAGCTTTGTTGGAGTGCCTGATAAATTTTGGCGAAGAGGTTCTGAGAAGGTGCTTTGAGACCACAGCCTTTAACACATTGTTCTGTCCAAAAACACAGCAGAAATGGATGCCAGAAATCTGTGAGAGCTGTATTAGGGAAGAAACCCTCAGGGAAGTGAGAGACTCACACTTTTTTTCCATCATCACTGATGATGTGGTGGACACAGCAGGAGAAGAGCACTCACCTGTCTTGGTGAGGTTTGTTGATGAATCTCGCAACATCTCTGAGAGAGGAATTTATGGGCTTCCTGCCTTTTGAAGCTGATGAGGAAAATTTGGTTGTAAAATTTCACACTGAAATAACTGAGAAGTGGGGACTAAATATAGAGTATTGTCCTGGCCAGGCTTAAATTGTGTCCAGTGGATTTCCTCTAAAATGAAAGTTGTCACTTCTCGACTTCTAGAGAAATATCCTCAAGCTCTCTGCACACTCTGCTTTTCCTGTGCCTGAAATATCTGGTTGGCAGAATCAGTGGGTATCAGATTTTATGGTGGGAATATCAGTTGCATGAGGAACAACTGAGGAAGTTTGTTCTTTTTTCCATCAGTGACCACAACTACTTTCAGAACTTGACAATATAATTCTGTTGATTTCCAGAACAGTGAAGAAAGAGGTGAAGAACTAAAGGAAATATGTCATTCTCAGTGCACAGGCAGGCATGACACTTTTGAAACTTTAGTGGACCTCCTGCAAGCACTTGTTTTATGTTTGGATGGTATAAATAGTGACACAAATATTAGGTAGAATAACTGTATAGCAGCCGAGCAGTAACAGATTTTGATTTTATTATTTCCATTGTTGTTCTTAAAGTTGCCTAACTTTTACAAGGGCCTTTGGGAAAAAAATCTCCAGGGACAAACTTCTCATATCTTTTTGACTGCTGTATTGCACTCACTCAGTGAAATGACGGAAAATACTGAAGTTTATTGTGAATTTTGGTTTGAGGAAGCCACAGATTTGTCAACCAAACTTGATATTCAAATGACACCCACTGGGAAGTTTTGTAGGGCTCAACAAGGTAGCCTGGAATCTCAGTAAACCTCCCAGAGTTACTAGGAAACCCTGGGTGTCCCGACAGTGGAGCACATTATCAAGAACTTAAAGATATATTCTCAGAGCAGCATCTCAAAGCTCTTCAGTGCTTGTCTCTGGTACCCTCAATGACGGGAGAGCTCACATTCAGCACATCAGAGGGACATCAGGTTGACATGTACAGAAGTGACTCACCCAGTCTTGCCACACTCTCAGCTGAACTTCACTGTCGGAGAATCAAACGGAAACAGAGGGAAAGACACAGAGCTTCCGTCTCCCTTTTATGAAGCCCTCCATCTGCCTGACATCAAGTTTTTTCCTCGTTGTGTGTGCCTTGCTGAAGGTCCTGTGTATTCTTCCTGTGATGAAAGTTGAGAATAAGCACTATGAAAATTGATGAAAGCGCTTCAAAGCATACTTGAGAAAACACTTTGACAGACCAGAGGTGAAGTAATTTGGCTTTGCTTAACATAAATTTTGATATAAAACATGATCTTGACTTAATGGGGGACATATATATCGAACTATAGACAACTAAATCAGAGCTTCCTACAGATAATTCAGAAACTGTTGAGTACCTAAGAGACTTTTTCTTATATTTGCTATTTGAAAGAAAAGCTGTAAGGGGTATGTAGGCCACCTAATCCCTGAATATGTTAGCTGATAGGCCTGTCATTGAATATATTAGCTATTGACAATCTCCATATTTAAATGGCCCCTCTGAACTCTCCACACCTGAGACCTGTCTCTTCTTCCAGAAGACAGCAGTGTAATGCTTCACTTTGGTGTGACCTCTGCTGGTGGCACTATGCAATTGTTTTAGTTAAGTCATTTTGGACAACACACTGTCATTGTGGATCTACTTTTAGGTATTGAGTTGTCAGTTTTGAAGAAATTGATTTTGAGGTGCTGTGGGAGAAAGGAATGCATCTTACAAAATGTCATGGTGAAGCCCATCATTGACCTGTGATTAGTAGGAGTTTTAAGTATGCTATTAAAAATCTGTAATGGATGGTTAAGGGAATTACTAAAAAGTTTATGAGCTCACCAGACTTTGATGTAGATTTTGTCTTTATTAAATGAAATTAAAAGAAGAGGTTACAGTTAAAGCTTGAATGGAAGAAGTTGCTGCTGTTATTCCACATCTGGTTGTTGCGGTTTACATTCCTACATCATCATGAGCTTCGTAGAGGGTAAATACTGAACACTTCTGCTTCATCATCAAGGCAGAATCAGAGGCCATGCAGGCAACTGACTTGTCTGTGGTTTTTTTTTTTTTTTTTTTTTTCCCATGAGTATTATCTACTGCCTTGTCTTGATTTATAAGCAAAAACCTGAAACCCTACAAAATGGATGTTTTGTGGTTTATCTAGAAATAATAAAGAAACTATTGCTGTTAGTTTTGGTGAAGAAATTTTTGTATAGTTTATTTCAGTCTAAATAAAATGTGAATTTTGTTTAAAAATAAGTAGTAAGGCTCTTGAAGTCATAGATGTAGGCAAGAACTTTCTGAACAGAACCTCAGTTGCACAAGAAAGAACATCAAGAATCAACCAATGGGATCATATCAAATTAAAAGTTTCTGCAGAGCTAAGGAAACAACCAACATAGTGAAGCTACAACCTAGATAATGGGAAAAAATTTTCCGGTTATTCCTTGGATCGAGGACTAATATCTAAAATGTATAAAGACTCCAAAAAATAAAAGACCCAGTAAAAAACGGGCAACTAAAATGGGCAGAGACTTTTTAGAAGAAAAAGTACAAATAGCCAATAAATATGTGAAAAAATGTTCAGCATCCATGGCTGTGAGAGAGATGCAAATTAAAACAACTTTGAGGCTTCACCTCGCTCCAGAAATAATGACAGTCATCAAGAAATCAAATAATAACCAGTGCTGGTGAGTCTGAGGGGAAAGGAAACTTCTACATCGTTGGTGGGATGAACATGCATACAACTATTATGGAAGCCAGTGTGGAATTCCTCGAAAAACTAACAACGGAATTTGCATTTGACCTGACTATTCTCCTTCTAAGTATCTTTCTCAAAGAGTGAAAGACATCATATTAGGGTGATACTTGCATATTTATGTTTAGAGAAGCGCAATTCATAATAGATAATCTTAGAAGTGGCCTATGTGTCCAGCATCTAATGAATGGACAAAGAAAATGGAGTTCTACTGTACCATATTGAAGACTAAATTTGTAGGAAAATAGATGCTCTTTGAGACTATAATGTTAAGTGAAATAAATCAGGTATAGAAGCTTAAATATATGGTTTCTCCCTAAATTAAAAAAGAGCAAAATTAAGGATAGATAATAGAAGTCAGGGAGATAACTCTTCTACAAATGAGAAAGGGACTAAAAAATGGAGAGAAGGGGAGGATGTAGAGGTAAAAGGGTGGAAAAGGAATTAAGGTGTGTTAGATACATGTACCAACTCTCTACAGTGAATGTAATCAATATGTACTGCAAACATGTTCTGGTAAAAATAAAAATTGGAGAACATTTTATATTTTGCTCTCAGAGATCTCTGTCTACCTTTCCTGTTTTAATTTTTAAGCCACTCCTCATCTCTGACACACTATGAGTATTTGTATACTTTCTAGTTCTTTCTGATAGAATACAAATTCCATGAGGACAGGGTAATTTTTTCTGGTGGGGTTGTTTTATTTCCTGGTGTATCCCTGTTACTTAGAATAATGCCTACACGTAGTTGTTGCCCACTGGATATGTATTAAATACATGAGTGAAGGAAGGACTGAGCAAACAGCCTATGGAACCAGGCTGGTCATACGCTGCTGATCCAATGTGGAACTCAAGGTTCAATGTGGGGTTTATAGAAACTACATGGTGGCTGTACGACATCAGCCAAGAACCTGGGGCTCAGGGGAACAAAGTTATACTCTGGGGTGTAAGCCTAACATTAATGCACAAGGGGCCTTAACAGCTGCAGATATTGTCCTTCAGCAATCTGACCACATCAGTAAATGTATTTATGAAATCTATGTTGGTCAAAATTAATTTTAATTTGTTTATGAAATCAGGGAGAAAGAATCCTAGAGGCAACTTTTGTCTATATCCATCTGGATTCTGCCCAGGAGAAAGAGGCCATTTCCAGCCAATTCAAAGGATTCCAGTCCACTTGGCAAGGGCATCTGCCATGGAGATGGTTGAAGGAAGTGGAAATATTCAAGTTTGGTCCATTGGCAAGACCATTTTCAGAATACACTGGGTGCATTGGTTTATCTCGTGGCATGCTCTTACAAACCCAGTGATTCCACTGAACCTTCAGATAAAATAGATTTGGCCTCCCTTGAAAGTTGGTTTGAGGAAGACAATAATTGGGAGAACTTTCTCCAGTGCTTGTGCTAGTCATTTATCATTTCATGTTAATAAATTGACACTGCATTCTTATAGCAAGTCTCATGAGGTTTAGTAATATGATTGCACATCTAAGAAAACAGTGTAACACTGCTGTGCTGGAAAAGTGAGCTTTCGGAATCTCGAAGAAAGAGGGGTCAGCACTTGGAGGGTGCTAAATTTATAAATGGGATAGATTCCACTCGGAGATTGGAGAATGCTGGTATGGTTTTTTGTGGTTGATCCACAGTTGTGCTGAGGTGCCTGTCACTATGTTTCTAGAAGTTTCCCTTGTGTAGAACAACTGATTCAAACATTATTCTCATCTGCCTCTCTTAATTGTGAGCTCATTTAAGAGTTTTAGGCCTCTCAGATTTAGGTGTCATTATTTGGGCCTTTGGTCTACTACTTTCCTCAACCAGATTGACCTTCACCAAATATTTTAGTTTGTCCTTTGACAACTTTATGTTCGGATTCCTAATTTCTCTGTCAAATGCAAAACCACATTCAAAATGTCATCTTTTAGGTATGATAAGTAGAAACTGATTAAGATATCATTTTTAATTAGCAATGTCGATGGGAATTGTGGATCCTGATTCTATTCCTTTCTCTTCTTTTAATCAGCCCCAAGAGGGTTTTTTTTTTCATACTTCACAGTTGCACATTTGAGGATTTTATTTTGACTTCTGTTATTTTCCATGTAACAAGCTGTGGTTAAGACATCTTGCTTCATGGCCCAGAAAGGGAAAACAGGGAGATTGTCAAGTACTCTGATGATGTTTGGGTGATGAGAATTCAGCAATGCACTCAGTAGACTGCTCAGGCAAGGGAGGTAAAGGCCTTGCTCAACCAACTGAACAGGAGATTTGAGCATTCAAAGATTCTAACTACCATTGTAGGACTTCTTAACACTTGACTTCATCTAAAAAGTTTCTCAGGAGGAAGACTGAAGCTGTCACCATGAAGCTGTGTGTCTGCACACACAGGTTGTTTGTTTGGGTACAGGGGATCGAACTCAGGACCTTGTGATTGCAAGGCAGGCAGTGGAACCACTGAGCTAAATCCCCAGCCCTACACACAGGTTTTTTTTGTTGTTGTTGTTTTGTTATGACTTTGTTTGGTTTGGTTTTTGTCTTTTCGAGATGGGAATCTCACTGTGTAGTTCAGACTGGCCTTGAGCTTGCTATAATCTAGGCTGGCTTTGAACTTGCAATGATCCTTCTGCCTCAGCTTCTTGAGTGTTGATATTGTAGGAGGCACCCCCATACCTGGCTTGAACACAGCTTTCAAGACAAATAAGAAGGGTTAACTTTTGCTTAATAGTTTCTTTAGAAAACAGAGAGATATGTAGTGTATCATTTAGAATACTTTCAGCTGCAAGTAACACAATTCCCAAGTAATAGTGGCTTAAATGATAAAGTCATAAATATATCACACAACAATGAATTCTGTTCTTACCTCAGGGAACTACTAAAGTCTTGAATCCCACACAGAAAGGAAGCAAAAGCTTTCTTCTTCTGAGGGTCTATTACCTGATTAGCACAGGAAAGAATCTCAGAGGCACCTGAACTGGAGAGAGTTCGCATGCCCACACCGAGGTCCATTTCTGGCAAAGAGGAATGAAATGAATTACCACAGTGATTAAGTCATCCTGAAGCTGAGTAGGGACCTGGAGTTGTCCATGAAATGATGAGTATTCTGCCTTCTATTCTGGTAATATGGACTTTACTACCTGGGTGAGTGTAAGTGAAAATACGTTCCACCAGCATATTTTGATGAATAGTGTAAAATAATTAAAAACACATACTGTTAAGTTTGTGGGATAACTGGCAAAGCAGCCCCTCATTGGGGGATAGGAGCAGGTGAGTGGTTTGGATGCTGGGATAGGCAGATCTCCAGGTGGAAGCTGTGCACCACTTTACCTGTTCCTGGACCTTGCTGCCATGTCTCCTCTGACTAGCCTGCATCTGGGATATAAGTAGCACGGAAACTTCCACCTCCATGAACCACACAGTGTAACTCCTCACTTGTCACTGACGACTTCCCCTAGCTGGCTTGAAGTGCACCAAATTTGAACCTTTCAGCATGGTCACTGCTTCTTGTTCCCTGTTATGTTACTGAAGCATGGGCTGCCAACGTCCAGACATCCCCTGGCTCTGTCCAGGGTGGCATCTGCACACAAATGCAATGCCTACAGAGCGCCAGGCCGAAATCACTTCTGCAGAGTTAAACTGGAGCATTAAGAGGCAATTTGAATTTGACAGAAGGGAGGAGCAGTCACACTTCCTGCAAGAACATGAAAAATCATGGTTATTAGATAAGCTGGGGAAAGCACAAAATTACACAGGCATAAAGAAGACTTTGCCTAGAGTGTCTGAAAGCACAGAGCTTGCAGATGGAGAAGTTGTGCTGCAAAGGCAGAGTGATGTCAGAGAGGAGAAAGGAGGGAAGGCACGGCCGGCTTGCAAAAGTTTGGTTCAGTTGTCTGTTCTGTGGAAGTGCTTGGCCACAACACCTTCAAAATAAAGGTGTCAGTGTGAAGATGCAGTGAGTTTCTTTTTCTTTTCTTCGTAAAACATTTTAATTACTAACAAAGTATTTCACACTTGGTATAATTTTGAATAATTTCTTCTGAGTCTGAAGCCATTTCTAAAGGAGCTAAATGAAAATGCAGCAATTGATTGAGACACATTGTATGAAAAATGTAATACCAGATGGAAGGGGTCATGTCTGTTATCTGGTGGAAGGAGCATTGTTTACTGAATATTGGCCTTGTTGTGTGAGTGTGGCACATTCACCATCTCATTTAATTCTTACCATCACCTCCTGAAACAGGTACTTTTGTTATGTCCTTCTGACAGATCAAGAAGATTGTAGCTTAAAAGACTTAGTAATAAGTGGAAAGGTCAGGATGCAGATCCCAGCTGTCTGACTCCAAAATCTTCATTCCTAACCTCTACTGCATACTGTCAGCCAAAATTAAAAACCCAGAAGTGATACAGGAAATTATAATGCTGACTAGGTATACTCAATATTAGTGTTTGTCTGTTCCCCAGAGGTAAGATACGATGCGGATTTAGAAATATGTATTATAGACTCTTGCTTTTGTACATGAGAGATTTCTAGCCAAAAACATCTAACAAAGAAGGGACTACATTGACTCATCTGGTCAGCTGAATAATGATTCCCAAAGATGTCTGCACATCAATCCCTAGAAACTATGCTATGTTACCTTACGTGGCAGAAAGGGCTTTACAGATTGATTACCTTAAAAGTCTTGAGATAGGGAGATTATCTTGATTATCTGGATTGGCACAACATAAGCTCAGGGTCTTTAAGGGAGAAAGAATATTTGACTGGAGAAGCAGGGGATGTGAAGATGCAAGCAGGAGGATGGAGTGAGGTGAAAAGGGAGCCCTGAGCCAAGTAGTAAAAGTGGTCTCGAGAGCTAGAAAAGGGAGAGAAATGGATTTTCACCTACAGAAGGAATGCCATTCTGCCAACATCTTGATTTTAGGCTTCTGACTTCTAGAGCTTTAAGAATAAGTTTGTATTGTTTCAAATCACTTAGCTGTTGGTAATTTGTTACTGCAACAATAAGAAACTAATAAAACTCCTTTACCTAAAGAGTCCAGGGCAGAACTTCTTTCAGGCCTGGCTGGGGCCAGGTGCTCTAACAGAGTAACTTGAAACTGTCCTTTTTCAGACATCAGCTTTACTGTCTGCTGCAATGGCTGTATTTGCAGTTTGATTTTCCTTGAGTAATGGCCAAGCTGGCAATCAGTAGCCAGAGGCTTGCACCTCATTGGTTTAGAAATCGTGGTAGAATGAACATCAACCCGTCATAATACCCATGCATGTCCCAGGGTTGACCTGTGTAGGCATGGCTTGTAGCTGCACTTTGAACCATGCCTGAGATTCTGAAGGGCCAACCAGAGGATTGTACCTCAGATGGGAGGAGGAGATAATCCCATTGAACTTAAGGGAGTCTTAAGGAGGACGGAGGCTTCACAAAGGAAAGTTCCACTGGCTAGGCAAAAAGAGTTGGAGCCTGTTACAGAAAGACAGAAGGCTGAGGCCCTGGGACAAGAACTCTGACTGATTCTAGGGATAGTCAGAGAGACAGAAATGGAGGCTTCTCCCTGACCAGCAGAGACAGTTAAAAAAAAGCTGTTAAAGGAAACCAGTTATAGGCAATAGTGATATAATGGGGAAAGACAGTGTCAACAGGATAGGAAAATAGAGAGAAGGGACCACAGCTTATTGGCTGGCAGAAAGAAGAAGGCCATGGCAATGATCCCTCTGGCTGTGGGCAAGCTGATGACATTCTCGCCCTTGACTCTCGCTGTTGGGCTTGTCTTGAGAAGGAGTTCTGCAGAGCATTCTGCATCCTGGGATGCACTGGGAGTCTCCAGAGAGTCCTGGAGACCTGCACAGAGCTCCATTGGCAGTACCATGGCAGGAGACCTGCAGCCAGACCCTTTAGAACACAGGGCAGACTGCCTCTTCTCCACATGGCTTACAGAGGGAACCCTGGGCATCTGTTTCATTCTTGCCTCAAGTTAGGGTGCTTCTTTTCTGTTGCTGTGACTGGGCAGGGTGGACAGGACAGACACTTTAGCCCCTAGTTCTAAAGCCAAGCTGAGTTTTCCTGGCCACTTAAAAACATGTCTGGTCATATCAGCCTTCATGCAGAGCTATCAATGACTCTTTAGTTCCCTGAGAGTTGAGGTTAGGTCCTAACAAAGCTTACATGGCCCTGCACCAGGGCCCTGTTAATTCTCTGCCTTCCTCACCTGTTTTTGTCACCCTTGCTTATCCACTGCAGCTGTTCAGGCCTCCTTGTTTGTTGATTTTATTGCCATCTTCCCTGTTCCTCACTGCCTTTGTGAGGTCAGGAATATTTTTCTGTTCTGTTTATTGTCATATCCTCAGCATCTGAAGGAATATCTGCTCCATAGTAGGTGCTCAGTGAATGTTGGTTGAATGGAGGTGCACACATTTCAGTGATGTCTACTGAGTGAGCACAAAGCTAGTGAAGTCAGTGATACAGTCAGCAAGACAAGCTTGACATGATCTCCACTCCTGAACTGCTAGTGAGGAGAGACTGGCAGGCAAGCCAACAGTGGCAGTCCCCTGTGGTAATTCCTTAGGGGTGGTATAAAGCCCAGAGTATTAAGGGGCCTTAGGAAAAGAGGGGCACACAAGGGCTGAGATCTCTTTCTGCTTTGGTACCTGTAATTATACTGGGGGACCCAACGTATAATTACTACTTCATTGTTTCCCATTAGATTTTCTCTATGTGTATATGCTGCTTTTTGAGCCAGTGCTCTCTAAATCCAATAGGTTTCCCTGATCCCTTGTGGAATTCTAACTCCTGGATTGTTAAACTCCCCAATTCTTGGGTCTGCTGGTGGAAAATTTCAGTTGCCTTTCCTTGCTGATGGGAGGCAGAAAGCCACACACAGAACATTGCAGCCTCTTGATAGTAAGCGAAAGAAAGGAGAGCAAGCCCATGTCACACAGGGGCCTCACACGGGTGGCAACAAACTAGCGTAATTCCTCCTTGACGTGGCATGTACTGCTCTAGGCTTGTCCCACAGCTGTCTGGGTACGGACTTTCTTCCCGTTGCTTAAGCCTCAATCCAACTTGCCACCTTCCACCCCATTCATTTTTCATCGTATCAGCAATCACACTGCAAACACACCCTGTTTCCCTCATCAGAAGCTAAGTTGTATATTGACAGTCTTATATTGTTGTATATTGTCTGTCTTATTTGCTATTGAGTCTCTGATATACATAGTAGGTGCTACACAAATATTTACCAAATAAATGCTTAGTATGCAGAGGGACACTTGAGCTATGACATCATAGAGTCTTGGAATTTACAGAATTTGAAGGAGCTACACTGGTTGTTGCTGCGCTGCACGTGAGGAAGATGGTACCTGAGAAAGGAAGCACCTTAACTGATGCTACCCAGAAGACTCCACTCCACCGTCCCATCTCACATGGATAGGCTGTCTGTGGCTCTTGCTAGTGGCAAAGTCTTTCTTTGGGAGAGCTCCCGGAGCTCTGGCAGATCCTGGCAGAGGTTTCTTGTGATGCCTCCTAGTGTCAGTACTGTGACATAACCACAGCTCTCCTGAACTCCCTAGGATTTCCTGAGAGAGTGGATGGGACACACCCTTCTCCTGCCTGTCCCATTCAGCTCCTTCTGCAGCTTATGAAGGATTCCCCTGGGACCATGAATGACAAACACCAGAACTGTTGCTACTTCCAGGGATGACCTTACCCAGTGTTTGATATCTCTGTTAGAACCAACAACTTCATTTGAGTACTAAATAATCACTTCAACTTTATCATTCTGGTGCATTCCAGAATTGCCAACTTTTCTTATGTGTGTGGATTTCAAAAGTTCTCTACAATTTCAGTCCTGTGTTCTTTACTTTACTTTTTATTGAGGCATAACCTTCACAAAAGTAGGTACCAAATTTTTAGTGATTTTAAAAATGATTTTGCAGAGTAGTTTTGCCTGCTCTTACGCTCTAAGTTTTAGATTTAATTTAGTTTTATTAGTACGTGTTTGTAGTACATGAAGTTTACACTGGTCTTAGGGAGTAGGTAACGTATAAAACACATCTTGATGCTTTTTATTCCCCTTCTCCACCCTCCTCCCTCTCTTCAACTCTAAATCCCCTTTCCCCATTTTTCTTATTATTGTTATTGTTATTGTTAGCTGTTGTTTACAACATAAAGTGTGTACATTCCTTGTGGGTATACAGCACACTTTCGGTACATTATGACCCACTTTCAGTCTTTGTACTTCCTCGTCTCTTCTCATATTTCCCTCGGTCTCCTGGACCACTTCCTTTTTGATGTCTGTTAATATTTGTTTATATAGTAGGGTGCACTAGTACTGTGTGCATATATACTTAGGATTGTTGTCTCTCCTCTTGGATTGTTTCCTTTACAAAGATTTGGTGACCTTCTTTGTCTCTTAATTAGTCTTGGCTTGAAATCCATTTTGTCTGAAAATAAGATATCTACTTCTGCT